ATAAAAACGTGCAGCTACTTTTGAAAAGAGTTTGGTATGTCCTCAAATTTCACCCAACAACATACAATATATTTATAATATAGCTAAATATAATAAATTAAAATCAACTCCACTGTGATTGAGTCAATTCTAACACACAGTGACCAAAAGGACAGGATAGAACTGCCCCATAGGGTTTCCAAGGTGACAGAAACAAAGCCCAAACCAAACCCACTGCTGCTGAGTTGATTCTGACTCATAGCACCCCAGAGGACAGAGTAAAACTTCCCCACAGAGTTCCAAGGCTGTCCATCTTTATGGACGCCAACTGCCACATCTTTCTCCCCCAGTCATCACAAGACCCAGCAATTCCATTCCTCAGTATATTCCCAAGAAAAATGAAAATACATGTTCACACCAACTTGGATATGAATCACAGCAGCTTTATTCAGAATACACAAAATGTGAAAGGCACCTAAATGTCCATCATGGGTATCTCCATACCATGCAGTATTTTATTCAGCCTTAAAAATGCTAAAGTATGGTGGATGCTACAATGTGGAGGAGCCTTGAAAACATTACACTGAGTGAACAAAGCCAGCCACAAAAGTCACACTTGTATGAAATACTATGGTCCCACTTACATGAAATACCCAGAAAAAGCAAGTCTACAGACACAGAACACAGATTAGTGGTTGTCAAGAGGGTGGGAACGGGCAGTGACTGGTAACAGGCACTAGGAATCTTACTGGGATATTGGAAATGTTCTCAAAATGGATAAAGGATACGGCTGCACAACTATGTACATAAATTAAAAACCATTTAAGCAGGTGACCTTTATAGTATATAATTAGTATCTCAACAAAGCTATTTCATAAAGTGTTATCTTTACAAAGGGGAAGGAGAGTCTGTGTTAGTCATCAAAGAAATTCAGAACAAAAGTGATGGGATACTGGTTCATTAATCATATTGGCAAGATTCTATAAAACGATCATTCTCAGTATTGGCAAAGGCTGGGAAGGCAGACGTCAGCATCCACTGGGAGAGTACTGGTTCGATCTTTCTGAAGGACAATTTGGTAACAACTGTTAAAGGCTTTTTAAGGAAATGCATGGCCCAGCAGCTCCAATTCTGTGTTAATTTTAACAGGATAACTAATATTCATGATATTAATAATACAATATTATAAAATACTTTCTAAATTATAATACTGAAAACTGGACATAACCTAACACCCAAGAGTTCAGCCTGCTCTTTGTCATCAAAGCCTGGCTTGGCACTGAAGCCTTGCCCCTCTCTAGTTGAGTCACCAGGGACAAGTTATTAGCACAGACGTGGGCTAGTAACAGAAGCTATGTCACCGTGTTGTGGTAAAGATGAAGTGACTAGTCGTGGCGAGAGCTTTGTGTAAACCCCACTTTGTGTGGCAAAGCACAAGCATCAGTGTGCACGTTGCTGCTTAAACAAACGACAGTCAGCACAGGACGGAGCCCCATGTGAGGTATTAACAATGCTGATGCCCAGGACCACTTCATGACGTGGCCGAACAAGATGCCTTCTGCTCGAGAGTTCATGGCAAATAACGAACACAATGTTGAAGGTGATTGTGAGGGTGGGCGGATGTCTATGAGTGTGTAAAGAGGAAATCAGAAGGACCCAGATCCTTCTGGTTCTTTGGGGGCATTCATTTTCTGTGAGCTCTTCTGTTTTTCTGAACTATGAAGCAGTTTTATAAGCAGGAGAAAGTACATGCATGATTGCCAACGCCAATGCCATTGTCTTACTCCACAGAGAAGGTCTTACAGAGGGAGATACAGGTGCACAAAGAACACAGGGGCCAAGAGCAGAATGGCCCCGAGGACCAAGAGGCTGAAGCACCAACGGCATAAACCCAGTGCAGCTCATTAACGGGTGACCTTGTGTGGAAGACGAGCAGGCCCAGAGAATGGCCAGTGAACCCCTGCCTGCGACTTCCCCACTGCCTCCCTGGTTCCCCCAGGTCGAGTAAGGGTCTCAGAAGCATACTCAGAGTTCATTCAAACCCAGATGGCTGAGCCCACCTCACAGCTTCTAATCCAGGAGGTCTGCAGAGCCACCTCAGAGTTAGCTTTTCTAGCATATTCTCAGGGGCTGTTGATGCTGCCATTCCAGGACCACATGGGGAGGACCATCTTCAGGGAGAGGGCACTGCAGAGATGCCAGTGGGCAGACCAGGGCCCTGGACCATCCGCGTACCTTCCCCTTTCGTCACATAAGCCCTGCTAATCTAGATCCCACCTTGTCAGTACCCTGGGAGCAGAAAATAAATGCACCCTGGCCTGACACTAAATCCTCAGACACATCCATGACATGCTGAGTCATGGCGGAGGCTGCCTCCTGAGCACCCCTTGCCTCTCAACACCATCCTGAGTGACCTGTGGCGGGCATAACGTGCAGCAAGGATGACCACTATTCACCTCGTCTAACCGCCAGGGCACATATGGCCCTCTAGTCATGTGTAGGAAGGCTTTTTCAGCTAGTAAAGATGGTGTCATCCTCGGAGACAGTTCATTGTGTCAAATATAAACTCAAACTAAAAAGCAGATGCGGGCTGTGCACACGGATGGCTGTGGTGAAAAACAGTTGCACATCTCACTCCCCCACGAATCCACCTGTCAGAACACAGCAACGTCTACAGAGAAAACAACTCACACTCGGTTTGGATAGTAAGGGGTGGGCAGACTGGGAGGTCAGGGCAGGATCTGGTCTCCACCTCACTCCTCAGTCTGGAAGCACAATAGCCAGCTTCCCTTCAGTTGTGAGCTCATGAAGAGAAGTTCTGTGTGTGCTAGAAAGGAGTGGCGACGAGAAAGTGAAAGTCCCTGGGTTGTGTTTTCCACGTGTTCAAAACAATACCAAAAAATCAACAACCACGTAATGAAATTCAAATCCCAAAATATGCAAAATGCAAAATTTGCATTAAATACCCATTAGGCTATCAATAATACTGGAAAGAAAATATTGCAAATGTTGACGGATGATTCTTCTTCTGTATAAAGTCATGGTTATCACAGTGTCACAGACAGCAGCAGTATGTCTTCCAGAATGATCCAGAGGCACCAACACATGCATGCGTTAAATAGAACCACACGCCTCACATAACCTGAACATGCAGAAAAGGAGGTCACACATGGTGGGGGAAGTGCTGGCCTCAGGCCCCCCCTTACCTGAGCTCTTTGGGATCAAATACCAATTTCACATCATTGACGATCGTGGGCAGGTATTTCAGTGCTGCCCCCTGCAAAACAAGAACAGAGAATAAAGTTGGACCTTATGTAGGTTGGCTCATGTTAATACAACGTCACAGTTACTATGAAGAGCCACAGCTTCATCAAAAAAGAGAAAGAGCACGTCAAGATGAGGGACTGACGGCTGAACAGGATGACAATACAGCAAGGGGGTAAGAAAAAGAGCTGTGACTCACAAGGAAGGTAACTTCTTACATGGTTATCTGGACACAAAATGTGAATGGAAGCCAGTATTCACTACCTACCAACAAGGAGCCTAGGCCATGCTAAGATCACACAGTAAAATCCTCCTTTCTTCCTGGCAAAGCTATAGCAATGAAGAACCAACCCCTCTAAAGACCATTCCCACTCGACTCCCTGCAGGTCGACCTCATTCAGCAATTAAAATGATCATCTCTGTTCCCTTCCCACAATGCCCGTCTGCATTGCTGTCTATCCCTTGGTTTTGAATCATTCTCTCCTTTAGTAACTCTATCTTCCATAATCATATTCTGTGTCTTCTAGAAAACATACACCCTGGAACAGTACAGTCATAGTAATAGATCCTACTACATGCTAGGTGCTGTGCGGGGACCCCTGTATATTGTGTCACTAATTCAAACACTCCTTCAAGAGTGAGCTGGGAGTTAGATATTTTGGAAGGAGAGGAAACTGACAGTAGAAATCTTCATCCCTTTGGCTCTGGTCACACAGCTAGCACCTAACAGAGTGGTGGTGTGATGCCAGAGCCTGGCCCCTCCTCCTACACCATGCAGGGAAATGTCCTGGATCTGAAGTGTTCTGACCCTGGCTCCACACCCGTACCTGTGAAGAAAGGCAGCTTGTGGAAGCAGGCTGGGCTTCCCCCTTCCGGAAACACATGGGGAAATGACACTCACACCAAAAACCTCCAGGAGTCTCACAGAAGCTCAATATCAAATTGAGAAGAAGACAGGAAACCTGTGGAACATGGAAAAATACTACAACTGCTATGGAAGTACTTGTTGCTGCTGCTTTCAGAAATTCCCAAACCAAACCACTGCTGTCCAGTCAATGCCAACTCACAGTGCTCCTAGAGGCAGAATAGAACTGCCCCACAGGGCTTCCAAGACTCTGGCCAGACTGTATCTCACCCATTTCCGTCATATTATCAGAAGGAACCAGTCCCTGGAGAGAGATACCACACTTGGTCAGCAAAAAAGGAGACGACCATCAATGGACAGACCAGCAGCCTGGCTGCAATGACTCAAGCACGGCAATTGTGAGGATGGCGCAAGACCAAGCAACACTTTGTTCTGTTCTACACAGAGTCACTGTGACTTGAAGCCAACTCGACGGCACCTAACAACAACAATTTTTAAGGAAGCAGACTGCCACAGCTTTCTCCTATGGAGCCACCGATAGGTTCAAACTGCTGACCATTCAGTTAGCAGCCACATAAGCACTGTGCTACCAGAGCACGTTTTTTCATAAAGCAGGTAGTAGAAACCCCCTTCTGAAATATCACCCAGATATCATCAATTGATTCCCAAAAGCGCACAGTCCTCCTCTTCCCAAAGAGCTTCATTCCATACACCTTGTATCCCATACAAAGATTAACTCAAAACGGGCCACAGGTCTAACACCATAAAATATACAGAAGAACACCACTGAGACTTTGGATTTAGCCAAAGATTTCTTAAATATGACACCAAAAGCACAAGCTGTGGAAGGAAAGACCTGTGTCCTTTGTAGTCACCGACATGAAGAACTTGGAGCTTCAAAAGACAGAGCTCAGTAACAAAAGACAAGCCACAGACGAGGAGAAAAAACTGCCAATCCCACATCTGATAAGGACTTGTCTCCGGAATACGTTCTTCTCATTAGGTGCATCATGTCAATTCTGACTCACAGCAACCCTATATGACAGAGTAGAACTGTGCAGGACAGGTGCTGAGGCTGTATACTTTATGGAAGTAGGTCACCGGGTCTTTTCTCCCACAGAGTTGCTGGTGGGTTCAAACAGCCAACCTTAAGGTTACCAGCAGGGTGCGTAACCACTGAGATACCAGGGCTCCTCAAACAGCATATAAAAACTCTTAAAACTCAATGATGAGAAAAACCACCTCCCCTCAAAAACTGAGCAAATGACCTGAATAGACACTTCACCAAAGATGTATGGGTAGCAAGTAAACACCTGAAAAGATACTCAGAACCTTTGCTCATCAGGAAAATGCAAATTAAAACCACATTGAGATACCACTGCACACTTATTGCGTTAATTGTCATAAAGTCTATTCTGACCCAAGGCAACTCTATGTTGGGATTACTAAAAGGCAAAACCACAAAACAAAGAAAAAAGGGGGGGGGGGGGGAACAAAACAGAACAGAAATCTAAAAAACCTGGCAAGGCCAAGTGTTGTTTGTATACATCATTAATCTGAATGCTAAAATAATTCAGCAACTTTGGAAAAGACCTTGGTAGTTTGTTATAAAGTTAAACACATAATTTCTCTATGACATAGCACCCACTCCTAGGTACTTACCCAAGTGAAATAAAAGTATTTGTTCACAAAAAAAAAAAAAAAAAAAAGCTATATGTCAATGTCTCTAATGACTTTATCATCATCAGAAATGGAGACAACGAAATGACCTTCAAAAGGTGAATGGACAAACTAGCTATGGTCCTTCCATACACACCATGGACAACTGCTCATCAATGAAAAAGAACAAACCACGAATACAGCTAACAAAAAGAGATAAAATGCAAATGACTTGGACAGGTGAAACAAGGTGTTCTCAAAAGGCTACAGACTGTAGGATTTCATTCGTCTAACACTGTGAAAAGCAGGTGTATAGAGAACAGAGTGGGAGTGGTCAGTCAGTTGAAAACTGTTCCATATGTAGGTTAAGGACTGTGAAAACCTGTTCTGTGTGTCAGCTGACTGCCTCATCATTCTCCCACAGAGCAGCTGGTATGTTCAAACCACCAACTTTTGGTCAGCAGCTGAATGTGTTAATCACTGTACCACCAAAGCTCCTTATATAAGGTAAGAGGCAGTAGTTCCAACAGAACAAGGAGATACCACATGGTTTAAAATCAGGAAAGGTGTGCATCAGGATTGTATCCTTTCACCATACTAATTCAATGTGTGTGCTGAACAAACAATCTGAGAAGCTGGATTATATGAAGAATGCAGTAACAAGACTGGAGGAAGACTCATTAGCAATGGGGGATAAGGAGACAACACAACATTGCTTGCTGAATGTGAAGACTTGAAGCACTTACTGATGAAGATCAAAGTCTACAGCCTTCAGTACAGATTACACCTCAACATAAAGAAAACAAAAATCCTCATACCTGGATCAATAAGCAACACCATAAAAAATGGAGAAAAGGCTAGAGTTGTCAAGTATTTCATTTTACTTGGATCTACAGTCAGCACTCATGGAAGCAGCAGCCAAGAAATCAAATGACGTATTACATTGGACAAATCTGCTGCAAAAGACCTCTTTGAAGTGTTGAAGGGTAAAGATGTCACTCTGAAGACAGGTAAGCCTGACCCAAGCCATGGTGTTTCCAAAGCCTCCTATGAATGTGAGAGCTGGACAATGAATAATGCAGACCACAGAAGAACGGATGCACCTGAGTCGTGCTGTTGGCGAAGAACACTGAATGTTCCATGGGCTGCTAGAAGAATGAACAAATCTGCCTTGGAGGAAGGACAGCCGGAATGCTCTGTAGAAGAGAGAGAGAATGGCCAGACTTTGTCTCTAATACTTTGGGCATGTTGTCAGAAGGGACCATTCCTCAGAGGTTATCATGTTGGATAAAGCTGAAGGTCAGAGATAAAAGGGGAAGACCCTCAATGAGGTGGATCGACACAGAAGCTGAGACAATGGGCTCAAGCATGGAAACAATTGTGAGAATGGTTCAGGACCGGGCAGTGTTTCATTCTGTTGTATAGAAGGTTACATGGCAGCAGCTAACAACAACACTGTTGGTGGAGAACTGTTCTACATGTCTGTTCAGAATGCTCCTATGTCGGCTGAGAACTGCTCTATGTGTTGGTTCAGAATTGCTCTATATAATGGTTGGAAACTGTCCACATATTTGTCGTGAATGGTTCTATATGTTGATTGAGAGCTGCTCAACATGTTGGCTGAGAACTGTGCTCCATGCTGGTTGGGAACTGCTCTGTATGTTGGTTGGGAACAGTCTATGTATCAGCTGAGAACTATCTATATCAGTTGAGAACTGTTTTGCTTACCTAGTGCAGCTCTGACAGAAATACACCACCAATAGGATAGCTTTAACAAACAGTTTATTATCTCACAGTTCAGGAGATTAGAAGCCCGAGAGTTCAAAGTACCAGGCTCTAAGGGCTGTGGGAAAGCCCCTTGACCTTTGGTTTCAGCTCTGCCTCTTGCTCCCAGCGCACTGAAGCTAGAGGCATCTCTTCACTCAGGCAGCTACTGGCTGCTGAGGCTAACAAGCCCAAGGTTGACAAATAAAATGGCACAGTCCCAATGTTACCTAACCATACGGCAGGCCATTAACTCAAGTCTATTTCAAGTCCCAAGGTCGGCAGAGTATGGCAGGCTGCTGAACAACGACATGGCTACATGCAAGGTTCAAGCATGCCATAAGCTAGAGACCATTCCCAAAGCTACGTCCTATATACCGAAACAGACCACAGACCCAAAGCAGCTACTCAGCTGCTCCAACAGATTCAATCATGGAGATAACTACCAGTCTTACCATGGAGAATAACAACATCCAGCTGCCAAGCCACTCAACTAGGCCTAGGCAAGTTGACACACAAACTTAACTACCACAAGAACTGTCTAGAGGTTGGCTGAGAATAGTTTTTTGTGTTGAGTGAGAACTGTTCCATATGTCGGTTGAGAGCCACTATTCTATGTTGGTTGAGAATTGTTCTCTATGTTGGGTAAGGTGGTAATTACACAACTGCATGCATTTGTCAAAACTGGCGGACCTGTCCAATAACGAGAAATGAATTCTACTGTA